TTGTTTTTCATGTTATGTAGTAATGCTGTTGTGGTTTTAAAACTAGATAAATTTACCTGATTAGCCTGGCAAGCCCATGGCCAGGGAAACGTTGCATTTATAAGTAGATCCTGTATTAGCTTTTCATTTAGTCCTCAAGTAAATGTTTATAAAATCTCACTTTTTGTAAAATATCGAGAGCATTTATCACTCCTTTTATTCAAAGTAATTTGATACTATTTCCCTTCCAGGCCTTATGATGGACTCCAACAATGAAATACCAATACAGGCTGAAGTAAACATAGATCATTCTTAACATAAAGCTATTGAACAGTTAGAGAATACAAGAAAAATCAGAGAAATTTACGTACGAGAGACTTCTTTAACCATTTCTTTCAATTTGGAACCCTAGAATATTGTTATGCCATTAGAGATCGAAGAAGAAAACCATTCCATGGATAGATACAATATATAGATCCTAAAAGTGCTAGTTTAGCATTGCAGAATGACAAACCCAAATATCACACGAAATATACCAAACCCATTAAAAAAAGCACAAAATACAGAAGGAATACGAAATTAATTTACTCTTTTTTGTCAGCAATAAGTTGAGTTAATAACATATCAGAGACATTTTGTCACATGCAAAAGACAACGATGTATACGAATCTTAGAAACAAAGCTGATTTATAAGAAAATCATCGATTTACGAGAGAAAATCAACAGTAGGAAAAAAGGAGCCCAACAAATAAATCGTAACAGTAAACAAGCTACATTTTACGTCCAGAGAGTAAATTACTTTATTTAAGGATTTTATTTGAAGCTTTATAAAAATAATGAGCAAATATATTTAAAGAACCATCATTAGCATCACGTATTAAAAACAAAAAAAATGGAAACACATGATATCACATATCTAGATTCTATAATATTTGGAAGTCCTAATTTTGTTTAAATTACTTTAAATATTCAAAGTAACAACGAAAGCTTAAATTACGTATACATCGTACATTTTATCAAAAATTACACATAAAAAAAAAAAACATGTATCCATATGTGCCAACCCAAGCATGACTTTTATTTAGTAACATGCATGTACGGAATAAGCTTGAATGGCATGATCTTACGTATTAAAAGTATACGTACACACTCTCACAATCAAACTCATAAGATAGTCTACTGTTACATTTGCAGATTAAATATAGATAGCCAATCATAAATACTTGAAGTTATGAATGAAAGACACCGTCTTAGCGTACTCGTACAGGGATCGTATACAAGGTTAACGTTAAAGAATATTCTGCAGGCCTATATAACAGTGCAAGCTAGGCAGGAAGAACCTTGTGCATTAGATTTTCTAGTTATGAGGTAGAAGTTAGTTTACCACAGGAGGCCAAAGTTGCAGCAAACAGCTTGATGTTAGCACCATCATTTCAGGTGCTAATTCATTCGCAAATTCCAACACCAGATAATATGGTTAATCAAGCAACACCACAAAGGTCCACAATGCACGTAAAGCAAGCAACACCTAAAAATAACAAAGAAGACCAAAGTGGAACTCAAAAGGACAATTTGTAAGAGTGAATTGTATAAGGACTAACATAAACATTCTTTTAAAATGTTACAATGTAAATTACAAATAAGACTCCTTCGACCATGAACATCTGATTAAGGATATGTATTTTTCGAAAATCCAATGAAATCAAGAAAACATAAAACCTGTTCATACATTGTATAAGTATATAGATTTTGCAGAAGATATGAAACAAACAGTAATATAATGCATTGACGAACAGATTCCAGAAGTGAGAGATTTGGGGGTAGTTTGAAATAGGAATATCAATGACAATTAAATTCTTGAAGACTTACTTCCTTGAAAAAAAGTATCAAAGGTGCTGGCTGTCATAAATCTGGATTAGTACACACGGTTATAAATAGCGTTTGGTCCTTCCAGCCATTTTAACTATGGTCCACTATGTATCGTGCGTGATAATGAGAAAAAACTATATCTAAATTTTTACACTTTTTGTTAAAAAAATCTACAGCTAGAGCCATTGGTAGACTTAAAATTTATGCAGCAAGACTTTTCAATAAGAATACTTCAAAAAAATATTGACACAATAGCTTATTCACTGTGTAAGAACTTTTGTGCTTAAGTCTTTTGTGCAAAACACACATAAATTTAAAAAAAAGGCCCACTGTGCAAAAAGAATGCCAGTCTAGTGAAGTACGATTGGCACTATAAGCTATGCCTTGAGACAGGCTTTATAACTCATCTTGAAGCCCTTAACAAACTAACCATTAACAGAAAAAAAAATTCAGGAGTGAGGGAAGATTAAAAACAGAAGAAAGGGGACATTAACCAATAATTAACTATCATTCATTCTACTATCCTTTCCTCTTGCACAATTCTAAATTAGTGTAATAATTTTATCGATTAATTTTAACTTACCTAATAACATTACATTATGCTACATTTTTTTAATAATACTTTAATGCTGCAAAAAAAAGCCATAACTATTGCAAAAAAAAAACCAAAAGCTATTGTAACATGTTTATTTTTGTATTACTAACAAGTAAAAGCAGGATTATTTTACATTTATTCCTACGTATAAGGTGAGAATGGTTTAAAGAAAGAAAGGGTTCAAAGTGGAAACTTTTAAAAAATTTTTTAAAGTAGTCGATTCACCATTATCTACTTCTTACCATAAAACAGATAGCTTCAATACATATATATTTACCGAGGATGGCAACAGTTTTTTCGTCCCTCGGGCGGAGTGCTTTCCGCCCTAGGGCACACTTTCCGCCCGCCAATTACTTTCCGCCCACGGGCGGGAAGAAACATTGTGGCCCTGCCAGGCATAAAGTTTGTTCCCGCCCTAGGGCGGAAAGTAATTGGTGGGCGGAAAGTGTCCCCATGGGCAGAAAGTTGCACTTTCCGCCCTCGATACAAAAAATGTCGTTTTCACCATGGGCAGAAACATACAACAACCGCGCCCTTCGGGCGCGCAAGTTGTACTTTCCGCCCTAGGTAAGAAATATACTATAAAAAGCGAAGACTGTTTAGTAACGACTTGCACGAATAAAATTATGTTTCTCTTTCTCAACATTAAAGTTGCAAGGCTCTCAAAACAGTCGTCCATAACGAAATTCGTCCCCTAATAAAGCTGGCTGTGTACTCTATAGGCGATCCTCTGTGCCTAAGCATATAAAATTAGCAAATGCTGACCCCATAGCACGTAAGACAAAGAAGTTTTGACTAAAACTTCGTGCAAGATGCATTTTTTCGCACGGCGTTTTAGTCAGGAGCCTGCTACCACTCATCGAGTGCAGTATTTATTAACCCATTAACTTGCTAAAAAGTGGCTTACTGTTTTTTTCTCTTCTTGGTCTTTTTGTCTAAGTAATTTGAAATAAATAAATTGAAGACAAGTCAAGAAAATAAGAAGCTATTGTAACTATCAAACCAACTTGCGCAAAGCTGCTAGAAAAAAGACTGGTACGTTAACATGCATACTTTATAAACTTTTTTTTTCTTTTTATAAATAAATAAATGAATAGGTTAACTGTCTGCTCTTTTTACAGCCTGTAAAAAAGCGTGAGACTGCAGTCCACAGCCTTAAGTTGTGAATTGAAGGCAGTATTAAATGATAATCATAATCAGTTAACAATTAGTTAAAGCCAGAACTTTTTCAATATGATACATGTATCTACAGTCATTTGCATAAATATTGATGCTTCTCATTGAATGTCGAGAACCTTAACTCAGGCTTATGGAAGAAAATTGAATTAAAAATTAATCAAAATCCGCACGCACTTAAACGAAAATTAACTTTGCTGCTGCATTAGTACTAGATTTTTACCAGTTCTTTTTTGACTAGTACCATCCATATCATTCACCTAACCGTTTGCAATCACATACTGTACTTTTTCAGTAGTAGAAAACACTGCATTTTCTCAGGTTATTAACGTTCAAATTGGAGCACCCTAAATGTAATTGCATTAATTGGCGGAGAAATTTTTCGTAGGAGTGTTAACTTGTTGTGATACTATAGTTATACGTAAATAGCATAGAAGTATTACAATAAACTACCTCTAGTTTTCTAATAGGGGTAAGTGTACCTATCTTCGTGCTCTGCCCTATTACCGTGGATTTTGAAAAACTGATGATTACTTGCTCAAAATAAGAAATGTTTCATATAAAATAATTTTTCAATTTTAATAATCTGAAATGACGTTAATGTAGATGCAATTTAAACAGAAATATTTGTGTATATTTTGAGTAAATAATTATTTTCCACGGTATTCGGTACAACGCGCTCATTAACTGATTGTGTACGTATTTCCGCGGTGAGCATACGTAAACATAACCCTATACATCCACGGTAATACGTACACGGTAATAGGTACACAACCACGGTAATACCAGCATACCTTTTTTATTCGTTTTAAAAATATTCTACTGCAGTTTTAGCTTCATAAAATTTTTTTAAATATTCCGTAAGAGATTATGTAAGATTAAAAAAAAAAAATATTCCAAAAAATTTTAGTATACCATTTTTTATGGTGCATTTAAGTTGGAATTTTCAGTACGTGCCACGGAGATAGGTACACTTACCCCTATATTTACAAATAACGATTATGTTAAGAACTTCACGATTTTATGTTATAAAAAAAGAAGCCTTATATTGCTTCTAGCCACCACAAGAAATCAAAATTTTGTTCTTATTATTAGTATCTCATAAAATTTATCGTTATGTGTATGTGTACCATCAAATCTCTGATTGTGTTTGAAATTGTAGCCTGATGAAGCTGACACAAATGGTCAGCGAAAGGTTGCAACAGTTAACCAACACGTAAACAAATATAAATACACCTAGTATTTATTCATTTCTCATACCTCGCCCCCAACGGATGCCTGAGCATTTTCGATTTATAATTAGTACTGTATCTTTAATGCATGTACATGAAAAAATTGTTATTTATCTTTACAAACTAGATGATTTTAAAAGACTACTTACCCTTACGCCAACGAATTGTTCATGTAAAATCACCCAAGAAAGTAAATAAACACAAGCAACATTTGTAGCAAAAAGAATCATTACATCTGTGGCCAATAATATTCGAAGCGAGTGAATATACATATAGTTTGTTGCTACCCACAGTGCACAAAAAAGGCTGCACTTCATTAAAAATCTTCCTCCTGTAAGGCCTTTTTCTCGGAAACCTCTTAAACATTCAGCTAGAATTTCTGACGGTGTTAAACATTTGGTTCTTATACTTTGACTGATGAAATATAAAGGAAAGTACAAAACCATCCAGTTAGTACAAAACCACGTCGTAAAAAATGGTGCATTATACAACATTATTGGCTGTAAATCATATAAAAATTATTTCCAATAAAAAAGAGAAGAAAATAAATATGGACTTGGTTTTTATTATAAGATATTTTGTTAGTCATAGAAATATTTATATGAATGATTATATTAGTATTTGTAGCAGTGACTGTATGCTATCGAATTTTTTTTTGTTAACTATTCAATGGGCATACAAACCGTGCCTTGAATTTGAAAAATACACTGAGAAAGATTTGGCACCGTGAGAGTACCTCCAGTAGTACAGTGCTAGCTCGAAAGTTTAGTGCGTCAGTGATACCAGCTGAGACGAGAGCTGCACAATACCTGTATATGCGGTGCACCTAACCTATGATACATACGTCAAATTACACTATAGGTAACGCTACTATACGTTGGCTCGTACGTACGCTGTTCCGACTGGGATACTTGCTATCCCAGTAGTCAGAGACAGCAGACTAATCGTGATTTGGTAAAGCTACTGTAGGGGGTGGGGCAACTGCAACACCAAATCTTTCTTAGTGTAGAACCTCAACTATTCATATAATTATAAGAAAAAATAATGTTATTGTATGAGTATAGAAGTTTGTATCAAACTTTTAAAATACAAGTTTTTTCAACTGATGATCATAAAAATTCGATGAAAATTGGCTCTAGAACTTACTAGTATTATAACATAACATAATTCGCCTTACTACCAACCCTTTATCAAATGCAATTCTACTGGTCACGCACGTATACTTTATTTACATAAATACGTTGAAAATGACAAAAAAAGGAGCTGTTTCAATCTTCTTTGAGGTTTAGCTAGAAGGATCTTCAAGGTCTCTAAAATTGAGTGCCCATACCATGCAGCATATACATACATTGGAAATAATGAAATTCTTAAGGCGCATATAAGTTACGAAAACGTAGGAATTTCTGACCTATTATCACAAGAATTTAGACTTAAATCAATGCACCTCTACCAGAATTTTTATCACTTAAGTATCGTTTTCTCTCTTAACATTGTGCAAGCTGCACATGGCTTAGTAGCATAGTAAATTTGAATCTGACTTCTTATCTTAATAAAATAAAATCCTTATTATTCAATCGCTACGTTCCGTATTAACTGCAATCTTTTAAGTATTTGTGTTTTGACTTGAAAAATATTTTTTCTTAAAAAATATGTACCTCTTCAGTTAACTTACGCTTTGTAAGACCTGTACTTGTTTTGAATTCTTATGTCCAGGTATAACCTTGAATTTTTTTTTGTTTAATATTAATTAACATGATTTTCTATTTGACTTTAAATCTAAAAACTTTCAACCACAAATTAAAATGTATTCGTTGTCTTTTATATTTTTTAAACCTTATTTGCCTAATTTTCACTAAGAACGCATTGTAGATAAGTATTATAATCTATCTTTTTATTGAAATATTTTTCAACATTTAAATGCTCACAAATGTTTAAAATATTTATGAAGACCTTTTTACTATTGGAACTCCAGCAAATTTCATTAGATCTGGTTCATCTATTGATCCTACGCAATACATTCTTTTTTTTTTTTTTTAGTTTTAATATAGTTACTCAGAAAATAAAGGTCATAATCAATCCAAGCCTTGAGAAAGATGATTAATGGCCTTATAGAATAGTCTTGCCATAGCAAAAAGAAGAAAAGAGCAAACATTTAAATTAATAAATATATCAAATTTTTCTTTAAATTTCTCTACAATTGTGTAAAATAGCTTAAGTTTGTTCATTTACGATGTGTTGGTGAGCAAGACAGTCATAGATATATATGCATTAAGTAAGTTTCCAATATATATTTTCATCATAGCGTAACTTTAAATAAGGGTATAGTTGTACAAGTATCAATTTTTGTTCTGTGTGCAAAAAGTTCTAGTTTGATAGAGATAATTGTTTTACTTTTATAAAAATGATAATTATAATAAATTGATTTTTGATGGACAACTAAACTACATTGAGCATGTATTGGTCTCTTGGTAAAAAGTAGAAATGCAAGAAAGTTTTTACCAATCGCACAAATGATAAAATTTACAATATCAAAAAAATTTAGAAAATAGCATAGTGACGTTTACTGGCATGAATCAGTTTTTTGAATGAAATTTTTTTTCAAACCATATAATTTTATATTATACGTGTGTGTGTGTGTGTGTGTGTGTGTGTGTGTGTGTGTGTGTGTGTGTGTGGATGGGTGTGAGTTTGTGTGTGTGTGAGAGTGTAAATGCAATATTATTTCAGTAGACGTACACAACCAGATAGTTAACTTTCGATTTTTCTTGACTTTAACATTACAAAATTTTTATTATAAACTAGTGTACAATAAAGTAACACCAAAGATTACGAAGAATAAAGTGTTTGATACATAATTAATACAGTAATACTCTGTAGAAATTTGTCAACCCCAGACTTCGAGAAAAACATTATAAATATTTATTTGAATAATTGATCGAGGCGAAATAACAACTTTTAACTTGTGGAATTTTCATTACACTGTTAATCACTCCAATAAAATCATGTACAAAGCGGTTCATAAGTCACCAAGTGACAAAAAAGGTAGTAACTAAAGAAGGTCGTGTGATCTTTTGATATGATGAATATTTAACCTAAAGAGCAATGGCAGTTCCAATATAAAAGTGCTGAAATCGCTTGACGACTAAAGCATACCTTGACGAAGCTCCTTCCGAGGAAAATACCCCCATTTTTTCTACTAGCGGTTACGGCTGCATAATTTGCACGAGGCGTAGCTCTTCTCCCACATACAACTACTCTTTTTCGTGCACTGCTGGAGTTTATCAGAGATAAGACTTTCCCTTTCTGCTTATGACTATATTTTTTTGCACTCTGCTAGAGCTTTCTCCCTTTTCTGAGGGCTGCATTTTTGTACGCGCTGCTGGACTTTAACGGTGATGAAGCCCTCTTTTTAGCCTATTCTTTTCGTATATGTATTAGAGATTGTTTTAACCCTCTCCACAAGACTTCTTTCATTAAATTGGTGATATTTTGCTTAAGTAAAAATATTTTTGTATTACAAGCATCTTTTAAGTACATAAATTAGTAATAAATTAAAATGAATTAATTAAGAAAATTAACTATAAATCATTTTGTTTTTATTTTACATAATTATAATAACGTGTAATGGATCTAGTAGTTTTTTTTTTTTTGTTTCTTTTTTTCTTACATTTGTAGAAAAAAAACAATTATTTTAACACAATTTTTTAAGTTAAAGAAGCAAAACAACTATCTTATGATTTAAAACATATAAGACACATTTGTTTTAGACATTGAATTTAAGTGTTGTAAATTTTAATGATTAGGTTGTGAGGTCCTGTTTTTCGAGGCCTGTCCACTCTTAGAAATTTTTATTTTGCAAGATAATCCCGGTGAAGAGGATATGAAAAAGAATTTTTTTTATAAGGTTATGTGAAACAAGGCAAGTATAACAATAAAACTTACCAGCAACTTTTTATAAATCTTGTTAATTCATCGTCATATTAATGACTGGCTTTTACGACGTATGAAATGAAACTGTATGTTGTAAGCTGAATCAGACCTATACGAAAGTGCCTAGCTTTTTTGTAAACAAAGAAGCTAAAGACGCTGGAGATTACTCTGATGTCTTAATAGCAACATTGACGACAGAGCAAAGTGGCCGTGTAAAAACTGTTGAAAAATTGAAAGAAATAAATATTGTATAAAGTAGAAACGGAGTAGAATGAATGCTCACTGGTAGTTAAATGTGGTTCTTGTTTAGTCAATGTTAAATACTAAGCTATATAGTCTATATACTTATTTAGTCAATATAGATAGTAGTGCTATCACTGCAGTTATATAAGCTTTCACTTCTGTAGTTAATAAATTGTAAGATTTTTTAGGAGTTGTGGACGTAAGATCTTTGTTATGTTTTAACTCAAAACGTTACTACCCCAATAGTTGGAGAAAACAAATTTATTAAAATATTATTGGCGGAAGACGTAGCAATAAAACTTTTATTAAAATACAACTTATAAAAAAATTAAATAATTAATTTTTTTTTGACAACTACAAGTAATGTAATTACTATGATGACATCAGATAACACAGATTACTTAAGCCCCCTCGTAAGCAAATAAAATAGGGATAATGGTAATAATAGTGGTGCAGATCGTGCAGGACAATTAAAATCATCTTTGAACATTGTAGTCAGCGATAAAGAATCTAAATCGTATTTAAATAAATCAAACTCAAACATAAATCAAATAGTATATTGATTACGATGTAGATTTATTTGAAATTAAAATACTCATACCAAATTTAACAACATATTAGATTTTGAAAATCTTTAAATTCTTATTACAAAAAAAAGTACTTATAACAAGTAAACATTCAATAAAATATAATTAACGTGTGCTACTTTTTTAACATGATTTTCTATTTGACTTTAAATCTAAAAACTTTCAACCACAAATTAAAATGTATTCGTTGTCTTTTATATTTTTTAAACCTTATTTGCCTAATTTTCACTAAGAACGCATTGTAGATAAGTATTATAATCTATCTTTTTATTGAAATATTTTTCAACATTTAAATGCTCACAAATGTTTAAAATATTTATGAAGACCTTTTTACTATTGGAACTCCAGCAAATTTCATTAGATCTGGTTCATCTATTGATCCTACGCAATACATTCTTTTTTTTTTTTTTTAGTTTTANTATAAAAATATTTGTTAATAAATACTTAATAAAAAAAATTATTTTTATTAACAAAACTCGTATCTGATTCATCATTTTTCAATGTTACATAATACACGGTAAGTTTTGAGTGATTTTTTTTTTACATCAGAAGTATGACTAGATATAAATTAGTGGTTTCGTGTTTTAAGATAGTATTTTATAGAAACAAGTGTGTGAGTAAGTAAATATTTTGTTCAATCACAGATGTACGTACTAATTTCCCTTATATATTATGACCTTCCTTTCTTTGAGTGTAACCATGACCAGTTGGCGGTAGTCAAGGAACGGCTAAGAATTTTG